ACACACACACACACACACACACACACACACACGCACACACATACACATAGCGGGGCCGCAAAAACACATTAAAACCGGGTTATTTTGAAGGTTAAAAAAGACGAAAACCGTGTTATTTTGGGTTTATCTATCGCAAGTTAGTTTCTGAATCAAATCAGAAAGCAACAGCTTTAACACTGCCACCCATCGATCGTGATTAAGTCCTACCAAAACAGTTTTAACTGTCTTGCAAATGAGACACAAACGAAGGTTGAAAACAACGCACTTTATGAAGCTTTCGTTTGAGTAGATCAAAAAAAGTTAGAGCACTTTTGGTAGGACAAAGCTGAAGACTTTAATTGAAGCTCCCTTGGTTGAAGGCTTTCATGAAAACTAGGTGCAGAATGGTGGAGAATCCTTTCTTGATAGTAAAGCTGGCAAAGAACTGGTCAAAATACACAGTAAGGAATATAAAAGAATACAGTTGGTGAAGCAAAATATGACTGCTGACGACGGAAGAAAAGCGAAATTGGTTAAACCAGAGTGAGGAATTGAGCGTATTTACTCGAACTGTTGGTAGCTCGTAAGTGTTCGTATGCTTCCATTAATGACCGGTATGACGGGGAACCTCAACTGCGGCAGCGCCCTTTTTCTGATAAAACTCAATTGCGGCAGTGCCTCAAACACCAACTGTCATTTATCAATAAATAATGAAATTTTTAGAATACAATCAAAGGTGTCATTCTGCTCAGTAGTTACGCGCCAGGCGAGCAGGACAGCACTGGTGCTCTTCGACGTGCCAAGGAAATTTGTCGCCTTCTCAAATCACTGCCTGAAGCTCAGAAAATACCGATATGTGTGGCCATACACCATGTCGAAAATGATAATTTTCCCAGGTAGCCGATACTGATGATAACGCTACTCTTTTTTGCATGATTTTGTGCTGTTTGAAGACGCTTTCTAGTTCAATTTTTCTTCGCCGCCCCACCCACTCGGACAGTCGTGATGGTAGCTGTTCGGAATCAAAAGCAACAATGCTCTGGCCTTCTTGTTCTGCTTGCTGACTTCAAGACGGTACCTCTTCTCTTTTATCGAATACACGAAACAAATGTATGAAATTGTATTGTACTGTACTGCTCCTTATTATGCGTTTTTGCTTGCAGCGTTATACCATCGCTATAACGTTGCTACAGCCAGCAAAAATGCATATTGTCCAGAGGCTGTGTGTGTGTTCGGAAAGCGAGTGCATTTTGCCACCCACTTTCATCTCAGCAACCAGGAAAGCTGAGAGGCTGAAACTTTGGATATATGTTCCTACCCCGTGTCTCATCTTCCCATTTTAAGATCTTTCCCCACACGAGCCTAAACCCCAAGTACGGGGCCCCCAAAAAAATATGTTGGCGGGGAAAGATTTTGCGAACCAGACAACATAGAAAGCTGAAAGTTTGCAGGAATATTCTCTATGCATGTGCGAAAAAAATCAGCTCTGTCGAGCACCCAAACCACAGCCTCAAGCAGCTCCTGAAATCGAAAATCGCTAAAAACTCGGACCCGAACCCAATCGTGAATGTAGGCGATACTAGTTAATCTGCATACATGGTTTTTTGCCAAACTACCGCTCGAGCAACACTTCCACTTTTTAGTGAACTGGAAATTTGCATTTTTTCAAAACATTGATCATTTTTATGCGTTTTTGCTGTGCAGCGCTATAGCGCTGCTATACAGCTGCTACAGCCAGCAAAAACGCATATTGTCGAGAGGCTGTCTGTGTGTGTGTGTGTGTGTGTGTGTTCGTGCGCGCGCGCGCAAAGCGGGTGCATTTTGTCACCCACTTTCAACTCGGAAACCAGGAAAGCTGGGGGCTGAAACTTCGGATATAT